CGAACTTGAAAACACATTCAAAACAATTTGTCCAACAGGTTCTCTTTTGTAGATAGCAAATGATGTAGTTTTCTTTTGCTTCCTACCAAGTTTCATTATAGACGTTGGCTATTACTAAGGAAGTGGTGGTCACTTTGTTATGAACGCACTTAGCATAGTGGGGACTTAACAATTAACACAGTCCCTTCATAGGAAACAGGTGGGCCACCGTTGCTTCCTATGAAGGAACAGACAATTTGCATACATGTCTTCTGCGGATTTCGAGCCTGAGCCCTTCGGTACGGCAGTCAAAGTCACTAACCACTTTCCCGTCTCGGCTGAAAAGATATAGACACACTGGTCAAAGAAACCAGGAACTTATTCTACACATATCATGTGACTATTTGTGCGCCAACTCACGTCTCACTCGGTTTCCAACAAATGATATTCTCTGTGCACTACATCTGAAACGTTTTTTCTTAGAGCTAAATATAGTCTGAATGAAGGTTAATGATTTTGACCACTGATTCTTAGTGCCTCAAAAACTGTATGATAGGAAAAGGCCTGAAGGCCATAAGTTCGAAGAATTAGGCACAAAACATAAACGAAGAAATAAAATTTATGTAATTGATATTTTTTAATTTACGAGACTGATAATATTTTAATTATTTTTAATATTAGTATGCTGTAATCCTCCAATCAGAAAGATGCAGTTCAATATTTTACTTTTTCTGCACATATGAAAATTTTGTAGCACATTTTGCAGTTATATCTTCGTTATATCTTTCCTAGATTTTTCAACTTTTTTCATCCATGATAATTTTCTTGTGTGATAATTGCACAATATTATGTATTCGCTCATTTCCCTTCTTGCCAAATTCTGTATGACATATTATTTTATCAGTGTGTGTTATTAGCCCGATGACGAAGTTGCTAGCGCGTCGCGCAGCTACACCGCAGGTTCGGAGTTCGATCCTCGTGCTGGGCAAGGTTGACTCAACTTTCCATCCCTGAATGGGTCGATAAAATGTTCGCTTGGGGATTAAACAGCGGGAGTTCTGCGACAAGCTGATCACATGTCCAGGGCATATGCTGATGCACTCTGGGGCCCAAGATCAAGAAAGGAGATTTCGGGGCAAGAAAGGAAATTCGGGACCTCTTTCCAACTGTGTACATGATACTCTCAGTACAAACTGGGACGACGTTAAAAATATATCCTCCTACGCTGTTAGTTAAAACAATCCAGTTTCTAAATCTGTAGATAAATATGCTTCTCGTTACAAGAAATCGCCGCCAATAGATGCGTTTTCTGGGCAACAAATCATTTTGTATCCAGTCTATTGGCTTTATATTCAGGTTATTTTTATGAAATTTTACCTGAATTTTATGAAATTTTACCTGAATAAATTCTATAAGCCAGTTATACAAAAATAATGACTATTCTAGAAAATTAAGCAGCCTCTAAATTTAAATTTACTGGTAAAGTCACAACTTTTCAATCGAATACGGCTCATATTAAAAACATCCCAAATCCAACACCAAAAATGCTGGCGTAAAGTTCAGATTACCTTTTGGCTTGCCACTAAGAAGAAGCAGAATACACTCTCATAGTTGTAAAGTATGTAATATACCTTTTATATGATCATTTCTCTTAAATATTGTTAACGGTATTGGGTAAAATCCTAGTATACGGTGCAGCCTTGGCGCGATTTTGAAAATTATCGCCAACACCAAAAATGATCCAAAGAACGTCTATATACTATACACTATATACTATGTGTGTATATACATAATATATACTATGTATAACTATATATATTCTTTGAATGACCGGTTTACTACTCATCGTATATGTTGCGTTTTTACTGCTCATCATAAAGTCACCAAAAGTAGTCAAATCCCGTGTGCACCGGATACTATAAATAAACCCGGTCTTGTTCTGTTATCGGGACCGGATTCAGACATGGCCAAAAGCTGACTATTCGGCGAAAATTTCGAAGCATAAAAATAATCGTCAAAATATTTAAGTTATGATAAATAAAATACGATACGGTTAAGCTGAATAAAAATCCAAGAGAAACAATAGAAATTGATATTCTTAAATTTTTAATTTTTAACGTAAATTAAACAGCTTGCAAAAGAAAGAAGAAAACAAAAATCATTTTATGGTTTTTCGTGTACATTTTTCAGACTGAATAATTTCTCGTTCCCAAGGAAATTTTATGGACGACAATTTCGCCACTAGCCAAGTCCAGATTTTTAAATCCATAATAAATACAATAATTTAAAAACACAAGTGACCATTACATCTGAGGAATTTGTATTCACGTTGCCAATTTTGAAAAGACATTGTTTTACTTTTCCTTAAAACTTTAACACTGTAACGACTTTGTTTTAGAAGTAAACAATTGGCGACTTCATATGAACCAATCTTTTGGCTAGTTTAGCAAAGCATTTGGCGACGAATCCGGTCCCGATAACGAAACAGTACTTAATATCATTTCTTTTTAAATTTGTGATCTTCACCTTTCGCACATTTTAGAAAATGAAATTATTTATATGCGAGTTTATTCTTCTAGGGCTGCGAAATAGACTGAAGTGTGTGAAGCATAAGATATTAAATCTTTTCTGCAGAAATTAATTTTAAAATTAGCAACACGATATGCCATGAATTAAATAATGATTAAAATTTCTGCTTTACCGACCTGAAAAAGAAGGTCTTCAAACCTTGAATTCTCAAATTTTCTGTAAACATACACATTACAAGAAAATATTTCTCCAACAACGGATAAGAGTAAAAGAGTTAACTGCTAATATTTTACAGATAATTCAAAACAAAATTCATAAATATAAAAATTTTGCTCGCCAATAACGAACATTCTAACGATAAAATCGCCAACAATAAACTTTATGACGAAATTTTAAAATTTAGTGAAATTTCCAAAACGACGCTGCATCCCCAAATAGTATTTACATATTTTTAATTTTCTATTTACACTAAATTCGTAGTCATTTAACATAATGTACTTTTAAATGAAAAAAGAAAGGTTTCTTATGTATTTTTTAATAAGAAAAAGAATTGGTGAATCTTTACATTTTGGTAACTTAGAGATTTTTGGGCAAACATTTGGTGACCAACCCTGCTACAGCAACCTGCTAGTTTTTTTTTTTTTTTTTTTTTGGACGATTTTGTTTTCACGAAGTAAAGGCATTTTTTTTTAACTCAACATTTTTCCTAACAATCTGCTAGCCGAATGACGCTTAATGCTAGATCATTTATGGAACAAAAGTGCTTAATCATGACGAAGATTAGGTGCGAAGTTGGGAGAAAAAACAGAATCCGCCTACTGCTTCGTGCGTTTTTAAGAATTGCACATACGCGGTATCCATGCACACGTCGGCCTATTTTCACTTAAAAAAAAATCCCAGAATTGCACTAAAATGGCATTGCGCACACTCTTGTCTTTATCTATGGTACACATCGACTTATTTTCACTTAAAAAGTCAAAGAAAATTGACAAAAATCCAATTCTTCTTACTCTTGTAAAAAGCGACAAACAAATAAGTGGGCGATTCTGCACTTTAGCAGCGAAATTGTTTCTAAGTGCTTATTAGCTAAAATCACGATCAGAATTTTCCGGATAATGTCACATGACATGTCTCATGATCTCTCGTTTCTCCGAGACAAAATAATCTGTGATTCGAACTGTGTACTTCTCAGATTATTGCTAAAGTCATAGCTAGTAACCTTTATCGCCTTACCAAAATGTCGCCAAACTACCTGTTACCATATTCTAAAGATTATCCGAAAAGGGTGACATACTTTAGCATTTTAAAATACAAGTATGAATTGATTAAATAAGGATTAAGTGATGCATTAAAAATATAAAACACTTACATTCTCCTTCAAATCTTTCTGCAATGTTCTTCCAAAGTACACAGCGGTGTATTTCCGCTTTAACAAACATCAGAAAATTTCGAAGACTTAGCTTCGTGCAACTCTTGGTAGCAGCGGCTGCAGAGGAAACGCAGTTCCTCGCTGTTTCCTTTAAAACGTTTTACAGCAAAATTCTGTATTCCTGCAGAAATTTTACTGCAGCTTTGTCCGTTATCTCAAATCCACAGGCTTGTATTTTAAAACCAAATTGACAAAACAGTATCGCGGTTTATATATAAAAACGGTTGGAACTTGGAGTAGAACAAAAAAGAAAGTATACGAAAATGTCAGCGCTGCTTGACTGAAGGAGTGATATGAGCAAGGTTGCCGGAAGAATGGTTATGCGCATGGTTGCCAGAGTTTGGCACATTCTGAAAATTTGGCGACTTCTGCTAAGGTGGTTGTGTTAATACGTAGGAACTTGATTTTATCCCTTTATCATTGGAATATTAGCAGCTAATTCTTTTACTGTGATGTATTTCTATACGAGTAGATTCACATACATTTTTCTTCAGAAATATTGGGAATAGTTCGAATCGAAGTTCGGAAGACCTTTGCTGTGGCATAAATAAAGAAAGAAAAATTTAAGGATACAAATCACAAAATACCTGTAAGAATATGAATTTCATTAAAAAGAAATTCTCTGTTTAATTTTGCGAATGTGTAAAATCAAAAATGCCTAAAATAAAATTAGAAATTCTAATGAAAATTGCATGGAGATTTACAACGCTGGAAGAAATTTCGTTGCGCATAAGTATTATCAATATTTTTCTCTCTTTCTGCAATTAAGTTTTAATGAAACTTAAAAGCTAGAAAGAGGAGCTACTAGAAACTTCCACGCTTCAACGAGTAAAGATTGCAATGTTAGATAGTACATGAAGATTACACTGAAAAAGACAAAATATATATCATATGCAGTACTGATAATTTGAGTATGCATGCTGTTTGAAAGCTTCTTTAATCAGTTTCAATTTTTTTTTTTCGATTTTTAAAAACATGATTTGATTTTTAATACTGCTCGCGGGCAACAATTAATAATGTTCCTCTGCAAAAGAAATAATAAACTAGGAAGAAATCAACAGGCTGAACTTAATCGATCGTTTTAATACCATGGCAATAAATTATTTCGACGCAATATATATTTAGATTTAGTTAAATATATATACATTTTAAGGTAACATTTCTTCTGATATTTAAAAACAATTACAATTAATTTTCTTCAGACGGGTTTTGCATACCCCTCTTTTCCACTAAAAAATTTACTTAATATTTTAACCACACAAAGTCTGCCGTTTTTGATTTGCTTTTCCTTTTAACGATATGATACAAAATGTTACTTTTACAAAAGCAGGGAATGAAGAAAGGGCAGTGACACCAATTCAAGTACATGTTGTAGTTATAACTCTAAATTTGATGCTGGGGTCAATGACTGATTTCACTTGAAATTACGGACTCTGCGAATCACTTGACTTGACGACATTATTTTGTGGTCCTCTTGTTCATCAATCATTTTCTTCGATAAAAACAGGCACTGAGAGACGTTAAGTCATCTTCTTCTCAATGTGATTGTCACCTAATGGGTAAGCAAGTAATGATGGCTACAAGAAGACTTAGACTGAAGGAGAACAATGTTGACAGATGGAGCGTCCCTGCACTTAGAAGTGCATCACACATTCCTAGTAGATAAACAAAAGAAATTATTAATGTTATGCAGCCATTAAGGAAAATATATTTATCAGTATGCTAAAACCAAAATTACTTCTGGCAATAAGCAAAAATCAGAAATGTATAATCTTTGAAGATGTGGCCTGTTGATATTAAAATTCGATTTTCTCTTCCTTTCAAAATTTAAAGCATCATCATTCATCTTTAACATATCTGCAAGTGTTTGAATACACACACGCGTTTGTGAGACAGAGCAGAAGAAAGAAAATGTCGCCATATTGACATAAAATCTTGTTATACAGTACATAATACATTTTAAGAGGGCTCATACACCTTAAACCCCTCATGATCTTCGAAAATGTAACTGTTGCAAGAATTGGGATATTTTATTTATTTTAAAAGCAATTTACTTCCAACTTTTTACAGCTGACTACATAATATAGCTGCTTTGAAAACTAGTAACCAGAAAGTTTGTGTTGCCACAAATATTTTTGTAATTTAATCCACTTTGTAACAAAATATTTCGCCCTGCATCCACCTTGCGCGCATGGTATTTTAAAAATGGCTAATGGTACATACCTGAAATTGGATGGAATTCTTTATATGGGCACTATTTTTTAACTGAACCAACAGTCTGATGAATATTTTAATATTAAAAATTTCATGGACGAAAACATTACACATTTGTTAATAAAATACATTTTATAAACTCAACTCAAATAAAATAAAAAATTTAACATAAAATTTTTAGATTTAGGTTCACAGTAGTTCCAAATGTTATAGAAGCTATATATTAAATATGGAATTAAATTATGAAACAGAATGTTTTAAACTGTGCGTGCAAGTTGGAAAAATGATGAAAAATATTGTCAAAAAGCGGATTAGATTATAAAAATATTTGTGGCAACACAACCTTTCTGATGACTATTTCAGAAAGCAGCTATATTATGTAGTCAGCTGTAAAAAGAGTTGGTAGTAATTGCTTTTAAAATAAATAAATTATCCCAATTCTTGCAAGAGTCACCTATTCGAACATCCTATGGGTTTTAAAGTGTATGAGTCCCCTTAAGCAATTCAGAATCCCAGGCAATGAGTCCTTGCGAGGCAAAAGTATCGCAATTTTAAGGGGTGTTGTAACCATCTTAAAAATTTGTGGTTTCGGATTTTTGCATTTTCAAATTCTCTACACCTTTATCTTTCTAAAAATACAATTCTTTAATCTCTATGAAAATTAGAACTGTAAAAAGATCTAGTTTTAATTTGTCATCTACTGCTTTGATCAATGAGGATTTTTACATAAAAACGCTTTTTTCTCCATACGTGATTTTTTTATACTCGATGTACCTTTTCGCAGGAACTACTACTCACAGGTATCTAAACTTTTTTTGGCTTGTTTATTAGGTTCTCTAATATTTACTGAAACGAGCTTTTTGTAATACACCTAGAATACAAAATTTTTTAATTTTTTGTGTGAGAAAAGTGCTAAATTTCATTATGCCAAACAAAATATTCTGTAATTTACTCTAAAATTGAAAATGCTTGAAAAGCTCGTTTCAGTATAATCAAATAGGTATACTTTAATTACAGAAAAAATTTCAAGCTTGTATCTACAGCAAATTTTGCGGAAAGGTACATCGAAAATGGCCAATTTAACATTGTCGGTATAGGGGTTTCTGATACCCAATAAATGATAATTTCTTTTACGTTGCTGTTTGATTTTGCTTAGTTTGTAAGAAATCGGGTGGTTATAACTCTTAGTTTGTAAGAAATCGGTGGATTATAACTTACTAATACAAATACGCTAATCATTTATTAGTTAACCAGTGAGGTGCTAATATGGAACAAAAGTCACTATTTACTACAGTTACGAAGTTAAAAGTAACACTGCAAGTAAAGATTTAGTTTATTATTATAAATTAATATAATTTTAAAATTTGACTTTGGTACATCAAAGAACCTTTATAGTTTATGCAAACTCATTTCATCTTACGAAAAATAATTTCTAAACTTTGAAGTGCAGTTCTGAATATACATTTAATACAAATACACATAAAGTATAGAGGGTGTTTCCGAATTCGAGCGACAAATTCAGAGAAGTGATAGTAGGCATCAAGAGGATAAAAAATTGTCATTGAGCATGGGGTTACAAACCATGTTTAATCGCAAAAATAGTTATGGAGGGTATGAAGACGAATCAGACAAAAGGGACCAACAATAAATAGAAAATATTTATTTGACGTAAAGCGGGATTACACTGCATCACCGTTCAACGTCAGAAAGGAGACGACGGGACAGTTTTATAGGAATTGTTCGAAGTTGAGGCCGCGAAAGTCACTGCACAGCCGATATAAACGAACAAAGAATTCTCTGACACGCTCGTGGATAACCATTGACCTGGCGATGTCTGCTGAAACAACACCAATCCGTACTGTCAGATCTTTTCAGCGTATCCACGAGCGTCTGATATATAACCGCTTTCAGGTAGTTCCAGAAGAAGAAATCCAAGCGATTGAGTTTCGGGGTACTTGGAAGCCAAGCAACAGATCTGTCGTATCTAATCAACATCTCGGGATAGTTAGCATTGAGGTGGTTACGCAGCACAGTAGCCCAATCATGCATGAACCATATGCTTTCGCGCACAGTGGCCGGTATTCTCTGCATCAAATCTGAGAGGCCTTCCAGTAGGAAAACAATGTAATATAATATGCGCCGTTGAGGCGTTCAGGCAGAAGGTACTTAAAAGATGATCTCCCAGAATCATTAGCCATATGTTGTTTTCCAACTCAGGTTGCACTTTTGATGGGATAAGTTCTGCGGGCATTTCGGACGATCACATATGCATATTGTGTATGTTGACGACACATTTCCGAATGAAGTTTAACTATCGTGAATTCTGCAACCACTATGAAATACTTGCTCGCTGCTTTTATTTTCCAAATACGCTTTGGAAATTTGCATACGCCAAAGTTTCTTCTTCTCGACCGAACTGCTCTTAGTCTTCGCATTTGTTTGGTCGCTTTCTTCTTCAGGCTCACTGTCCTCTCGACGTCCATTAAAATTTTCTTCCCACTAAATGTAGTTTGCGACACCATTGTTCTATGGTTATTTTTTCCTTCTCTTGATGCCTATTACCATCCCCCTGAATTTGTCGATTCAATTCGGAAACACCCTTTTTAAGTACAGTAGTACATGTATGTGATAACTTAGTGCGTAGGAGAAATCCGATACTTTCATAAGCTTGTGGCTGTAGACAGAGATTAGTGGCAAGGCATAATAACGTACACTCATGTCCATAAATTAAGGATAATGCAAAATCAGGCAAAGGAAGAGTTAAAAGCAAAACAAATTTCACTTCTTTGTAAAGATTATTTATTAAACAAAAGGTAAAGAGCAAAAAAAGATGCTATATGTTTGATATTATTAAAAAAATTAGCGATTTTTTTCTCCCTGGAGCAAATAACAAAAAAAAAGTATTTACAAAAAACCAATATTACATGGTTGGTATGATTGTTAATACATTGTATGTCTCACAGACCATGCAATACAGTCCGTACAACGCCTAGGCAGGCTGAGTATCAAATTATCGATCTGATCTTGGGGGATATTACACCACTCAAAAGGCAATGCTCTCCGAAGTTCCGGTAGATATGTAGGAGGTTGACGGGCCGCAACTCGTCGGCCAAGCATGTCCCACACGTGCTCTACTGGATTCAAGTCCGGTGACAATGCTGGCCAAGTCCATACGCGTGATATCCTCTGATTGAAGGCATTCGCTTACGATGTTTGCACGGTGAAGACGGGCGTTGTCATCCAAAAACACAAATTGTGCGCCCATGGCCCCCGAAACAAACGTACATGTTAATTCAGAAGTCAAACAACAAAAATCAGCGTTAATTCACAAAATTTTCACAGGACTAGTCTCGATGGTTTTACTGAACCATCATCTTCAGCTGCAAAACCGAAAAAAAAAAAAAAAAAAAAAAAAAAATTTGTGAATTAACGCTGATTTTTGTTGTTTGACTTCTGAATTAGTATTTATTCGGCGTGTTATTGTGTCTTAATTAAACGTACATGTTGTTCAGAATGACGACCCGATATAGTTGGCTTGTCATGGTTCCAATTCGAACATGCAGGTCAGTTCTGGAACCCAGAATAATTCCACCCCAAACGAGCACTCCTGCACCACGGTAACGGTGTCGTTCAATGATGTTTCCTTGGTGGTAACGGGTACCTGGAGCTCTCCATATGAAAGTCCGGCAAGAATCAGATTGCAAGCTAAACCTGGACTTGTCGAAAAACATCACACAAGCCCACTGCTGCGGCGTCCACAAAGCCCACTGCTTCCTACTCCAGGCTAACCGTAGGCGACAGTGAGTTGCAGTAAGTGGAACGCATCTGACAGGTCTACGAGCATATAGAACAATCTGCCCTAAGCGTCTGTACACGGTCTGCCTTGAAATTGTCATACCAGTCGCTGAAGAGAGCTGACGAGACAGGTTTGAGGCTGTGCTCCACCTGTTTCTTTTGGCAGTAACTGCCAAATACCGGTCCTCATTCGGCGTTGTAACTCTGAGACGACCTGTGCTGTAACGTCTACTCACATTACCATCATCTTGGAATCCTTGCCAATGCCTGGAGATGACACTCTGGGCAATTCCAAGTTCGTATGACACTTCCAATTGGGTACGCCCACATTCCAGACGGCCGATAATTCTACTACGTAAAAAAGCATCCAAATGCGTCCTTTGTGTGATAAATATTCGGTTATTGTACTGAAATGCTTATAAAGCGCCTGCGAACAATTTTACTTCTTTGCCTGTATTTCTTATATATCACTCTCTTACACTCTCGTCATTGTGAGGTACCATTTGTGTCATCTGGTTACTTCCTGAAATTTGCATATGATTCTTGAAGATGTGTGTAGTGATTTTACAGGTGATATATTTATTTTAGAGTTCGATTTTCGCGTGACTCCGAATTATCCTTAATTTATGGACATGAGTGTATTTAACACAACTGAGTTTGAAGTATCACAATCTTTATTTTTACGCATATCAAATCATCCATCAGATTATTTAATATATTTTTTAATCATATTTGAGCATAATAACTTCTTATATATGTTCTGTTTAACGGGGCGACCTCATTCTGGACGAACAAGCAGAGCAGCGAAGATGTGTTATCAGCGGCGAAGCTAGGGAGAAGAATGACGTAGTTATTGTGCGAAGAGTAATTTATACCCAGTCTGATGTATAAGTACAGCTAATCTGTGATTGGTTAATTTTAGGTTGTTATATAAACATGGAAGGATCTCGAATTTGGGTGAACAGATAAATTTAGGGAAAGAGCACCAAATCTAGAATAATAAATTTTGAGTTCGCCAATTATTTTTAAAGCAGCTCTCATATTTTGTAATATCTTACAAGTATAGTTTAATGTACAGAAGTTTATGGTGAAGTATAATAGTCTACAGTTAATACTAAAGTACAGACTTATATACTTTAAAGCGTATAAGTCTATAGTGAAGTATATTTTAATATATATAGTGAATGAATATAATGAATATAGTGAAGTACAGTAGTGGTAGCAATATATAGTACAGTTTATATATAGTTTAGTCCTATAGTATACGCAATATATTATATGCTACCTATGGGTAGAGGAATTAATTCTCATTACTTTACCTGAAGATGATATGTTGAATACTATATTTTCTGTAATCGCAGTTTCCGAGTTTCTCTTACAAGTGTCATGCACTCCTGCGAGGTGAGCAGTCTTGTCTTTACTCCAGTACACCTAAATGTAAAAAAAAAAAAACATGCTATGTATTTAAATATAAAGCATATTTAAATTCTGCTGTTAATGTTCGCAAATTCGTTCCCACCCTTTTCCTGGAAAGTTTGAAACGGCACTATTGATTATCGGTTTCGAAAGCTATTGATCCGCAACTTCCCAGAGAGAAACATTCTTAAAATTCAAAATATTTTCGAGATTCGAATTTTATTTTGGGTTGTTGTACTTATCGACAGGAAAGTACTGAAAATTTTCATTACATATGTAGTTCGTTATTTGCACTCGAAAACAACTTTAATTTATGCAGCAAAAGTTTCCGTATCTTTTAAATGTCGCAAATGACTAAATATTTAAATGAGTGTATCACATATGCACATATATTAGGAAAATATGTTCATATGCAGTGTACCATCGTTATAAAGTGTGCCGGAATAAAAAATTAAACCCGTTATATTAGTAGACTGCCACCTGTGTTATACTGAAACTAAAGATTCTTTTAAAAATCACTGAATACGAAATGAGGACATTTTGAACTTATACATTTGACTGTGAACTCTAAAAATCATTATTATGCTTGTATAAATAACGTACTTGAGTAGGGGTAAACAACACAGGAACAAAATGTGATGTTGTACATCACATGACTTCCTTGCATTGAATATTAAATTATATTCATTTCTTCCTGCAATTCATTTAAACTTATTCCCTCGAATTTCATTAGAGGTAGATTTCTCATTCAATTAATTCAGTTCTCACTTCGCGGCAAGGCAAAAATATATAAAAAATTAAAATATTTTCATTAAAAACTGAAAGATATTGAAAAACATAAAATACCAAATACAGATAAAACAATTTAAAAAACAATTTTTACAATAAAATTAGAGTTTCTACGCAAAACCAAGCAGGCAAGAAGGCAGATTTTTCACACTAAATGTTTCCTTTTGGACCTACTCAGCAAAAAGACACTGTAGACTTAATTCACTATTCTGCCAAGTTTCAAATGTAAACAAATATGGCTGCTATGGTAAAGAAAAATAGGCTTAGCCAAACTTTAGCGATTAATTGCACCCAAAAAGGTAAGTGCCCAACTACATGTTATAGCAATCCTATACAAAAAATGTCCACGTTTTATAGCTACTCGTTTTTGAGGGATGCGAGATACAGAATATATAAAATATATATTATGACCAAATATCCATGTGCATGTTTACCGATTGTATGTACATCTTAAAGTATGTTTCATATAATTATAAATTTTAAACTATTTACCAAATTCCACTTGATTTCAGCTGTGCTTTTTTTTTTTTTTTTTTTTTTTTTTTTTTTTTCCCTAAATTTTAGAAAATAAAATTTTTTGCGTATAATGGCACCGTTTTATGGATTCCCTAGTTCCGATTTCATGCCACTACTTCAAAGCACAATTTCAAGCAACAGTTGATTTTGAATGATGTTGGTACTTATCCTTCTACAACTTTTCTCATTTCACCTCTTCGTCATTATTTTGGACGTTTTTAGATTAGCAGTATACAATTTTTATTTTTTAATTCCCACTTTCTCCCAATGCGTCATATTACCACTGTTTTCAATTTTATATTGAAACAATTATTGCATTTTGAAAACGCATAAAAACAAAGCATTTACAAAAGAATAGTGAGACTTTATAGACATTTATTTCTCGGGTTACGAGCATGTGCAGAATGCACCACCAGCAGATGCAGCTGTCCAAGTTTCTCTTACGCTGATTACCATCCTTCAGTGTGTGCATCACATGTCAGAGAACACTCATGCACATGACCATAAAATCCATCCCAACTTCGGCGTATATCTGCAGTCAATGTATTATCTGAAAGTAAAATTTCGTGAATGGACGAGGGCAACATTGATACATAAATGCTCTCTTTAACAAATTCTCAAAGAAAGATATCGCATGAGGAAATAGCTGGCGAAAGGGTTGACTGAAAGAGAATGTAGTTTTCTCTTTTTGCAGCACGCCCAATTCAGCGTGCGGACGAACACGTACGAAAGATACTTATGCGTACTTCGTAAATGGAGGAATGTTCTGTACATTTGTAGAATGTAATTATCAGAAGTTATGTCCAGTTGCGATAGTAATTAGTTTCTTGCATGTCCATAAATGAGTCCCCCAATCACAGCTGTTTCAGGAAAGAAAGCACAGTGAAGAAAAGACACTTTTTAATGGAAAGAGTTAACACGAACTTCTTTGTTGTGAGTTCTTTTTAAATCGTGCAAGAAGTTCATGCCGAGATATAACTTACAGATCAGATCTGGATACCTCGATGTGAAAGATACTGCAAGCTTCTTGCTGCCACAACGCCGTCATGGAAACTGTCCGCCTAATCTCTCAACAAACATGAGAAGATATCCAGCAGCACTGAATGAAAAACGTAGATAACTGCTGCTGCTTACAGTGTAATTATTCTTGTCCAAAAGGATTGGTAATTTTGTAACTAGCTTTTGAATTTGCACCTTGTTTGCCTTCTTTACAAGAAAACGGTTCTATTCATGTTGATGCATCTAAATGAGGCCTAAATTTAACTTATTTAGCCTAGCAATTTCGCTTTATCCTCAGATTTTTGTTTCAATTTATGTCTAATAATTTGCGGTTTAAATATTTCTTCTTTGCTACCGTGAAATCGTCTCCTCTGAAGTAGAGGGGGCATTTAACATCGGTTCAGAACATCCATGTTAGGTGTCCGCCGATAACATCGCGGCAAAAACATCGCGGACGAAAACGTCGCGGAGAAAACAACGGAAGGCGAAAACGTCGTGCTACAAAACATCGTGGGAGAAAACATCGCAACGAGAAAACATCGCGGTTCTAAAACATGGTGGTACAAAGCATCGTCGTCGAAAATAAAGTGGTTCAAAAACTTCGCAGTTTAAAAACATCGTCGTAGGAAATATCGTGATAAAAAATAAAGTATCTACAAATCATCGCATGACGATAACATCGCAGACATGCTTTTTTCAAGTTTTAATAATTGTAAATGGATATTCTCGTAATGATTTGTGAATGCAAGATGTAAAGAAGGATAATTTTTACTTTCACATTTATTTATTAACTAATAAATTTTTACTGAAAAAGTAAGAAGGGAACTTAAGCATAGAAAATTAAATGCAACTTATATGTTATACGTTTCATGAAAAATTACCAGTAAAAACTTTATAATAATTATTTATTAATGGCCTCTGTTAGTTAACTATATCGGTTTAAAATTCTAAGTGCTATAAGTTGCATTAATTTTCTATGCTTAAGTTTTCTTCTTATTTTCGCAGCAAAAATGTATTAGTTAATTAAAAAATATGGAAGCAAAAATTATCCTTTTTTTTCATCTTGCGCTCTAAAATCATTATGGGAATACCCATTTACAGTTATTAAAGCATGTCTGAAGAAAGCATGTCTGCGATGTTATCGTCATGCGATGATTTTTAGATACTTTATTTTTTATCACGATATTTTCGACGACGATATTTTTAAACTGCGAAGTTTTTGAACCGCTTTATTTTCTACTACGATGTTTTGTACCACGATATTTTAGGACTGCGATGTTTTCTCTTTGCGTACCACGATATTTTAGGACTGCGATATTTTCTCCCACGATGTTTTGTAGCACGACGTTTTCGCCTTGCGTTGTTTTCTCCGCGATGTTTTCGGCTGTAACCTCATGTTACGCTACTACGCGGCAAAATTTCTTCGAAATCATTTTTTGAAAGATTATTACTTTCAGAGTGTTTAATCTGAAACTGTTTATTCCAATCGCGAGGGTGTGGCAGAATCTGCGAAATATTAAGAAAAAAAAGATTGCATATCGTCCAGCTTTAGAAAAGGGCAATTGTGTATATTATATACTCACGAAGCAATATTTATTGCCAGTGTTTCTTAGCCCAGTCACCAAGTAGTTTCTACCATTTTCTTCCCATGATCCATGGCAGTGGAAACCTAAAGTAAAGAGAGTGAGGACATCAGTTTTACATGAAGATTAAATTAAATCAATATTAGCAAATACAAAATAAATTACGCACAATATTTATCTGAATGAGAACTAACCCAATCCCCTGCACTAGAACATAAAAAGTAATGCTTTCATAGGACTCATTATTTTAAAATTATTACAGTCAAATATTAAAAGACTAAAAGATTTTATTATTAGTCAGGTTTACAATATTTTCTACACATCATTTTCTTCTGAAAAGTGTGAATACTATGGACAACATATTTTTGTTTTGTACGTTATCATATTCTATATAATCTTGGTAAACATAAAATCACTGAGTTCACATTTATATATTGAATAAATTTAAATTTAAGAAACAGGCAAATTTAGATTGGCAATGATTTTGTAGAAAATATCTATATTTTGAGGGCAGTGACAAAGAGTGCATCTTTTTTTAGAAGAAAACTATAATTTAAATGTAATACATAATTGAAACCAAACGAAGTCATAACGCATCTGTCAAGCAAACAGGAAATCAAAACTTATAAGATGAGGCTTTTAGAAACTTCAGAAAACTTTGGTTGGAATTAAAACTCATTGACTTAAGGTATCCGACCACGTTCGGAGCACTTTTTTCTCAAAAACGCAGTATAGGTATACTATAAACACATTTTCTCATTTATTATCTACAGAGATTAATTATGGAATATCAAAATGTAATATATTCTATTATTATCCTGCAAAAAAATATTAATTTTACATGAAATTTTAAGCAAATTTAAAAATATTGAAACTTCTATAATGAAAAAATATTAGGTTATTAAAAAAACGGCATATAATAATAATTACATGCTTTTGTCTAGGGAATGACATAGGATTTTAAAGATATCTCAAATAGTTAAAAAAATTCAGAATTTGAAATATTTTATGAGATTTGCGATAATTCACGGTCTTAACTAACAGGACATATTTTCAAAATATTTGATATTAAAATATTCTGTATGTCATTCCCTAGATAACTATATACTGATTAAGCCCAAAGTTTATAAAAATTAATACACTAATTTGATTTATCGTGCACAATGAGCCATTTTTAGAAAAAATAGATTTTGAAAAATGCCTTTAAGTTTAAATGCTTATTTTTTATTATTAATCTTGACCCGGGTACCTAAAACTTCCCATATCTATAGCTTATAACCTTCCTTTGTTCAACTTTATATGTTTTCTGTTTATATTCAGCTATTTGTTTTTTGTGTCAATTTTTACTCTGTAGTTGAAAGATATTTTGATTCCTTAATCGCCTCCATGTCGAGCTTACTATCTCTCACTGCATATTTCACCATGTTGCATACCTATATAATTTAAAATATCTAGTAAGCCTAAAGGACTCTGTTAAAGTGTATAACAGCTATCTATGCCCCCCACTTTAAGAGTTGTAATTTCAGAATGGCACCATCGGCATAAATTTCCAAAACATGTCATTAAATTTTGTTGCATTTTGGTCTTTTTTTATGAGCACTTTTAAAGAGCTTCTGCTCACATAGTTTTATATGCACCTGAAAATTTAATTAATTCTTTGGCCCATCCTTTGGTTGTTTGTGTACACTCTTCTAACTGATACAACTCGCTAATATTTACAAAAATGTCTAGTCCATCTAGGCACTGCCATGTAAAGTAGTTTTGCACTAAAAGTGTGAGAAAATGGCCATTACAGAAATTTTCCTGATCCAACATTCTTGTTCCGATTCTAACTCCATTTTAAAGTTTGTCAATAAAGAAATCATTAATGAGCGCCGTTGAGCCCTCCATAAAATATTTTTTGTTTTCCTAAATTTCTAGCTTTGGAACGGGGCTGCTGAATATTACTACGCATCATATTTAGACACTACTTAATATAAAAATTACGTCACAAACACTTTCAAAAATCTTCTGCCGATGAGAAGCATTTTATGTTTAGTTCACTCGATTTGAAATTGCTTTATTAATATTATTCTCCATTTCCTTCGCAACACGTTTCATAAATTTGTTCCTTATGCATTTTCGTTTACAAACACACGACTTCGATTTTTTATGACCCTTTATTATACTTTAAAGGAGAATATTTTTAAAAATAATCCAAGATAAATCTAACTGCTGTATGCAATGTGTCGAATCAAATCAAACTCGTATGCTAGCGAGGGCATAACGCTTTCCACAGATAATTAATAAAAATATTACATTTTATTGGAAATAATTTCATGTGTCTGATCAGACTACAGATAAGATTCTATAAATTCCCTCCTTTAAAGTCTTTACATTACATTTCAAGACAACAAACTTATTTATGTCCATTTCTAGCTCTTTTCAACCCTGGAATGGCACTTTCGGTGATTTAATGCCCATTTCCGGTTTTTGCGTCTTATGAAATCCCTTAATAATATCTGGTTTCTAATAAACGTATAAACAAAAGGAGACCAGTTTTGGAAAGCTAAACAAACAATCTATCCAATGAACGAATAAAAGAAAATTGCCATTTTTTGCCAAAATTGGCCTTTTCAACGTGTTCGAATACCTTAAATAGGTTGAATTCAGTGAAATTGGCAAGCTCAAGGATACTTCACAGTGTAAAGATGGTCTTTGAGTAATTTTACTTGGATTAAAGTTAAACGAATGCTTAAAAGAACAGCAAATACGTGTTAAAGATGTAATTCTTTCTTTCTTTTCTGACATAATATTCAGGATCTTTAACGTGAGACTCAGCTGACCAATATATGCTAAAGCAAGGGATATTATAAATTCATGCAGGGACTCGATACGTATCTCTGCTTTATAGTTCTAGGACCTGCAAGTCTTCAAAGACAGGAAGAGATGAGAAGAGAAAAATATTTGGATATGAAATTCATGGTGAATCCGAGAAAAGAATTTAATGAAATCCAAAGGTGGTTTTCTACAAATCAACACCAGTCTATATTAACATTTTGCGCAATTTAAGGTTCAAAATACGGGTATTTTTATGATTACACTGCTGAATTTTAGACTAAAATTATTTCAAAATTTCCTGCGTCAGTAAAGAGATTATATATTTACCCTTGTGCGGTTCCAAGCTTTTCTCTTACAGCTAAGTGTGTGGAACCTCGTGAACTGGTAAGGGAATAATCGCTTTAGCTCAGGAAACACAGACGTAAAGTCAAGAAGGCTTAACCCTTTATTTTTCAAAATAAGAATTTCACAGTCGGCTTATTAGAGCGTACAGAAGCCACTTGGGCTTTAGTACTGAAGAGTACTAAGAAATAAAACTTAACTAATGCCTAACTAAAAAATCTGATGTGTGCACCACATGCCTTCCTTGTACGGAATATTAAATTATAGCCATTTTTTCTGGCATTTTATTTAAACTTATTGGATTCAATTAAATCTACTTCGTCGATAAGGCATAAACCACAATAGAATAAATGCCTTCATTAAAACTCACTATATTTGTTTACCATAGCGACACTCTGGCCCTAGGTTCACTTAAGGGGACTCATACACCTTAAAACCCATAAGATGTTCGAATAGGTGACTGTTGCAAGAATCGGGATAACTTATTTATTTTAAAAGCAATTACTACCAACTTTTTACAGCTGACTACGTAATATAGCTGCATTCTGAAATAGTAATCAGAAAGTTTGTGTTGCCACAAAAATTTTTATAATTTAATCCGCTTCGTGACAACATTTTTCGTCGTGTTTCCAACTTGCGGGCACAGTTTAAAACATTCTGCTTCATAATTTAATTCCATATTTAATATATAGCTTTTAAATTATGAAGCAGAATGTTTTAAACTGTGCGCGCAAGTTGGAAACATTTAATTCCATATTTAATATATAGCTTTTTTTCTCGTATGATACTTTGTGGTGCACGAGGATTTCTTTTTCTTTAAATAAATAAAAAATAAAAAAAAAATCTGAAACGTTTCAGATTTTAAATTACGTCCAAAGGGGCGTTTTTTAACATTTTGTGTGTTACCTTTCTTATTAAATATCATGTTCCTCGCACTTAACCATAAGATCCAGTGCAACAGCAATATCGCAAAATAGTTTTTAAAACGAGCGTATCTTTAGAATTTCCGATACAGAGACTCACGCGCTGGAGATAAAAAGTTTTTTCTGCACAACGTTGCCATTGCTCGCTTTGAAATCCTTGAGTTTGTTAATCAAAAAATTCGTCAAAGTTTTAAAAAATAGGAAATCCATCATAAAACAAATTTCAAATTTCAAATTTGGTCTTCCACATGCTCATATTCGTTGGAGGATTACGTTATTCAAAATTCTATGACTCTATGTACCGTTATTTTTATGACAATGTGAGAAATATACATACATTTACGCAGATTTTCATTATTTAATTTCTTCAAATATAATGCAGGACTCTAACATTTTATGGCAACAGTTTGAAAAGTGAACCGACATTTATCCGTCCGACGCAAAATGCCAAAACGAAACTAATAGTCCTTCGGGATTCAAATCCTTTGGACTAAAAAATATATAATATAATAGCTTTTTAACATTTGGAAACTACTGTGGACCTAAAATTCTAAAAATTTCACGTTAAATTTTTATTTTTTTGAGTTGAGTTTATAATGTATCTTATTAACAAAATTTGTAATATTTTCGTCCATAAAATTTTTCAGTATTAATTAGCTATTTTTAAAATATCATGCGCGCAAGGTGGAAACATGGCGAAATATTTTGTCACAAAGAGGATTAAATTACAAAAATATTTGTGGCAACACAAACTTTCTGGTTACTAGTTTCCAAAGCAGCTATATTATGTAGTCATCTATAAAAAGTTTGAAGTAATTGCTTTTAAAATAAATAAAATATCCCAATTCTTGCAACAGTCACATATTCGAAGATCATGAGAGGTTTAAGGTGTATGAGTCTCCTTAACAGCGTTACATTTCATTCATTTTTTAAATCAGAATGCACAAAAATTATATCATCTTAAGAATTATCTAATCGTTGCCACATGTTCTATTCAAATACTATAATAAATCTAAAATTCTGTATAAAAGAAATTAAGCAAAGAACAACAACAAAAGAAACACTTTTTCACAGACGATTCAGTATTTCTCATTCAATTAATTCCGTTCTCACTTCGCGATAAAGCAAAAATACTTTAAAACTCAAGATGTCTGTATTGAAAATTATGAAGTAAATCTTAAACACTTATAACCTCGAATAAATTGCAGAATGGATTAAGCATGATTTAATTCGCAATAATAAAAGAAGGCATTATCTTTGTTATTGCGAAGCTGTACTTTCTCTAGATTTGCAACAAATTTATTATTCTGTTGTTTAAAATGTAAACAAGCAATGGCCGCCATGGAAAAAATTATTAGGCTTAGCGGCACTTAAACAGGTTTTAAATTGTTGATAATTCTAAACGTATCGTATACAGATTTAATAGAGGCATAAAAACCTTAATAGGAAGATAAGAACAACATAATTCAATCATTTTAAAGCAAAAAAATGCACAATTTACAAACATATATGAATAAAGAAACTGAGATCACTGAGCCGAGTAACAGAGTGGATATATATATACACATATTTATATACCTTTGGTGCGGCCGATTGCAACCAAAATACGAGGTGCACATCTACATGTTATAGCAGTCCTATATACAAAAGTTCGACGTTATGATGCTGCTCGTTTTTGAGTTATGCGAGATAAATACGTACGTACGCACAGACGCCACGAAAAATTCTCTTCAGAATTCATTTTAAATTAGTTTTAGAATTTTTTTGAGGGAAAAGAGTCCTTTATTCTGTCCTTAAGTACGAATGTCAAGCAAAAACATTGTTAAATTGCATTCGATAGCAGTGTAAACTGATATTTGAGTTGAAATATGATGCCTGAAACTTTTCGCGATTACGATACTTCCCTTTTACTTCGTACAAAGAAGTAAAAAGATATAGCCCAAGCTAATTAAATTCTAAGTAGATGGCCTCTAAATATCAACTAAACTGGCTAGGCTGTCAAGGGCCTGAAATACGGCCGAGCTTAGAGACATAACAGCTTAGAGAGAAAGTAGCCAAATAGCAAACGATGTGCTGGTCAGAATCTATGGCTCTCTAGTGTTGTCAGTGGAACTTCGACTTAAATACCGCTTTTCCATATTTGCATTAACCACTATTCTAAAAACACATTCTGGTGGAAAATTGTGAGCTGAAATCAGGAGAGATAGAAAAGTAGCTTTAACCATAGATAACTGTTAAAAACTTCGGATAAACCTTACACTCTTCTTATAAAGCAATCGTCTGTAGTGTTATTTGATGTTTCGAAGCATACTGAAACAATGAAATGTGAAGCTTTTTTTTCCATATAAAGTATATTACGCTTTTTTGAACCTATTTAACAGTGGCAACTAGCATCCTTCACCCCATTCCTTTTCTTTACAGTTTGTCGAGAATACAGAAGGATCGTGAATTCCTCATTAAAGAAAACGAAGAGTTAGGAAAAAGAGATATAAAAAACAAAGGTATTTATTTTATTTCGTCTTAAAGAATTTTCTCTGTCTTTATATTGTCCATTCCTAGTGTAATTGGAAGTACGTTCGGGTAGCAATCGGAAGGCCCGACGACAGCACTGCTGGTTTTTTCAGTTTTCCAGTACCTAACGTCACTGAATTTTCTTCTTTCTTCTTTTTTATAAGAAAGAAGGATTTGTCCCAAAAGGAGACTTGTTACTTCTATTTCTAGCTGTAAGCTTTCTTGAGACTCAGTGGTCTTTTTTCTTTTTCTTTATGCTACAGATTACAGTCTTCTTTCTTTATAGTAGACTACAGTCTTCTTTCTTTTTCTTTATTATGTATTTCTTCTTCACATTTTTCCTTAAATGCGAAATGTAGAGAGTACAAAAAGAAAACAACAGAAACGATGGGCCTCATTTCTCTTTCCCTATTTTCTATATACATGACATAATAAAAGCAAAGGAAAAGACGGAACACTGTAGATGTGCGTGCTTAGATCCATATTGAAGAAGAATTTTGATTGCGTAGTATTTAAAGAACTTGGCAGTCTAGGCAGTTTTTAATTCCATTTTTATTTCCAATTGATATTTGTGGCCGCAATCACTTGGCACTCTAGTCGTGCCTTTCCACAGAAGATTTACATTTTTGATTATCCTGCCGGCTTAAACCTCAATGGAAAATTTAATTCAGCTCTTCAAATCATCGTTTTGTGATAAATCCAAGATAATGTGAAAGAAGTGAATCATCAAGTTTGTTTTTTCAGTGTTTAAAAAATAACAGCTCATTCTTCTGCTGTGGTGTTTTGCACGTGCTTCAAAAAATAATCTCGTGTAGTGTTTACAGATTGAAAGTAATCTCTCGATAAATTGAGAAGTTCGAATGCCTAGTGAAAGGGAAATCATCAGTGAATAACCGTTTAGGTGGTGTGGTGGTGTATTTAATTATGGCAAAGCACACGAGGGCTATCTGCCTAAAGGGAGGGATGCCTTTCGTGGAGGACTTTCTAAGGGAAACTGGCTCGTATACACGTTACACATGGGGAAAACCACGAAAACGCCCATGCAGCCAGCCCGTTCGCGGGATACGAACCTCAGACCGAACTACCAGTGTTCAGCGTCTTTACCGCTCGGCCGCTGGTGGGCACTAATAAACCGTTTAGGAATTTAAGCATTACAGCGAAATTACATCTTAGCACAGTAGAGAGCAAAACCTGAAGTGCGTAGTTATGAAAGATGGAAGCACGCGAAGAGAAAAGTTTTGGTTTACAATTCGGTGATTGGTCGTCAAGAGGCATCGGGTATTAACGGTTACGTAAGATCGCATGATTAATTTGAATGACGCAATGCAGATAAGTTATTACGATTTTAGAATAGAGAGGAAGAATTAATGTTTATAGTTATATTATAATTCTGATTCATACATTTTTATCTTACATACAGAAGTAGAAATAGATGGTGACAACAATCGCCACTATCTTTCCTTTCTTGAAAGAAGAACGTTTTCTTTCTCTCTTTTCCTTTCTTCGAACAGCGAACCAACGGCAGGCGGTATTCTTTCGAATTCGAATACCGGTGAATGGGCACGCAGTATGGACACGTTTCTTGTTCTTTCATGCGTAACGTATATACGAACCAGTTTTCCTTACAAAGTCGCTCATGAACGCCCTCTCCCGTTAGGCAAATAGCCCTCGAGGGCTTTGCCATAATCAAATAAACCGAAACCAATGTAAAATACGTATTAATTTTATATACCTCATAAATCTCTTTCCTTCTTGACAAGGATATAGGGGTGACGAGAGTGGGAGAATACATTTTTGATCAATTTACTAGATACAATTTTAAAGCAGGGGCATACAGATCTTTTTTCCGTTTTCTGGAAACGAAACAAAAGAAATAAAATAGGAGGAGTATATATCGCATGTACACGTTTGGTTTTCTATACGTGGGAGTGCTATAACGCGCCTATATTAACTTAAAATATATTCCCAGGATAAATATTAAGTAATGCGTAAAACAGTGTTCGAATTCTTTCTTTTCAATAATATCTAGCTCTAAGTCCTGGAAGCATTTCTTTAATAATGACACATACACTGAAGTGACAAAAGTCATGGGATAGCAATATGCAAATATACAGATGGCAGTAGTATCGCGTAGAATATAAATGCGAAGTGATTTGTCAGGGCTTTCATTTGTGTTCAAGTTATTCATGTGAAGAGGCTTTGACGTGATTATGGCCGCACGACGAGCATTAACAGACTTTGAACGCGGAATGGTAGCTGGAGCTAGACGCATGGGTCATTCCATTTCGGATATCGTTAGGGAATTCAACATTCCGAGATCCACAGTGTCAAGAGTGTGCCGAGAGTATCTAATTTCAGGCATAATATCCCACCACAGACAGCGCATTGGCCGACCACCTGCACTTAACGACCGAGACCAGCGACTTCTGCGTAGAGTTGTCAGTGTTCACAGATAAGCAACACTGCGTCAAATAACCGCAGAAATCAATGTGAGACGTACGAGGGACGTGTCCGATGGGACAGTGAGGCGAAATTTGTCTTCCTTGGGCTATGCCAGCAGAAGACCGACTCGAGTGCCTTTACTGACAGCAAGACATCGCCTGCAGCGACTCTCGTGGGCTCGTGAGCATATCGGTTGGTCCCTAAACGAATGGAAAACCGTGGCTTGGTCAGATGAGTCACGATTTCAGTTGGTAAGAGCTGATGGTAGGGTTTGTGTGGCGCAGACCCCACGAAGCCATGGACCCAAGTTGTCAACAAGGCACTGTTCAAGCTGGTGGTGGTTCCATAATGGTCTGGGCTGTTTTTACATGGTATGGACTCGGTCCTCTGGTGCAACTGAACCGATCATTGACTGGAAATGGATACCTTCAGCTTTTTGGGGATCACTTACAGCTATTCATGGACTTCACGTACTCAAACAACGATAGGATTTTTATGGATGACAATGCACCATGACACCGGGCCACAATTGTTCGCGATTGGTTAGAAGAACATTCTGGACAATTCCAGCGAATGATCTGGCCACCTAGATCGCCCGACAGGAATCCCATCGAACATTTATTGGACATCATCGAGAGGTCAGCTCGCGCCCAAAACCCTGCACCGTCAACACTTTCACAATTATGGACGTCTATAGAGGCACCATGACTCAATATTCTTGCAGGGGACTTCCAACGACATGCTGAATCCATGCCACGTCGAGTTGCTGCACTTCGCAGGGCAAAAGGGGGACCGACATAATATTAGGAGGTATCCCATGACTTTTGTCACTTCAGTGTATGTCCCTATACAGTAAGCGGACTGGCCTTTCATGATTGCATTTGTGTATCACGTTTCATGTTCCTAATCATTAAAATCTTTTCTTTAGATACATATCTCGTCCATACATAAATAACATACTGTCCTACGTTATGCGTTTCTAAATCGATGGAATGGTCTTTGAATAGAATTTACAGGAAATATGTGTTATGACTTACTTTTAACGTCGGTGTAGGACGCGCAACTGATGAGAAAGTCCAAAGAGTCATGCGATCGACATCCAGCGATTTTTATCGAGTGATCTCTGCACAACTCGGGCTTGAAGGAGGACGATACACCTTTCACAACCTGCACGCGAATCTCGTTCGTCTCCACGAGTTGAGGACACCCAGATGTCGTGACAGATCTCGCTGTAGAAGAAAACAAAGAAAAAAAACCATATGAGCATGAATTAATTATCAGTTTATCCGAGATACATTAAAGTTTAAAAGCATTTGCTTTTAGATAGCTTTCAACCAGTTCGATGAACTTTCTCTATAATTAATACAATATTAAACCCGAACAAAAAATTCCAGCATCAGATATTGAATATATACTTTATTTTTCATTTCCTCAGCTAAAACAGTGTCAATTTTAGTAATTTAGGTGTGCCAAATAATCATCAAGGTACAATAGTGTAGGCGCAAGAAGCGAAAGCCATAGTCATGTTTAATTGTGAAACAAATGAGAAAGTGGGTGACTACATAAAATGTTACCAAACAGTGTAGTTGGTTTTGAGAAAAATGAGTAAGAACATAAGAAAAGCTAGATAGTAAATGGATGCCTAATATTTCTTTCCCGGTACATGGTGTCGTCTCTCCCGCCCTCAAGCGACCTCTTAAGTGGTGGTACGCTTCTCAACTAAAGAGGTACGAGACCTTAGGTCCACGGAGGTTTACGTCCAATACGACCAAGTAAGAATCAGCTCCTTCGGCAAGTCTCATCCGTTTTCTATAACCAGTTTTAGGATGGCTGGAGACATGTTACTCACCGTAGCAATTTTCATAACAGAGGTCAGATGAATAGAGAGGCTTTTCGCACATTTTTTAGACGATTTTGATAAGCGGTAATAAAAATTAGTTTGCTGCAAAAGAAGTAATTGCAATTGTACTATGTTTTTAAAAGTCAAAATTATCGTCTGTGCCTTGAAAGTTTTGTTTTTACTCAAAATGGCGAATTTAACAAAGCAGTGGTTCGAAGGCTACATTGACGCTCTTTCCGAAGAGAAATATGCATACTCCGTTATCCAAAAACGATGTGAGAGTCGTGGTTTTGTGATATCTAAAGCGTCGATAGGTAATAGCATCAACAAGAAAGGAAAAAAACGTTAAATTGGAGCCTCAAGTGGGACAAAAATTCCAAACTAGTATCCAAGGATAAAACGGACATCTTCGACTATTGCAAAGGTACGTTGTTTAATGTTAAAAGAAAATCCCCTTGTCAAAGGACAGTTGCAAAATCATTAAAATACTCGTTGTCCACTGTAAACAAAATGATAAACGTTTATTTAAATCTTAAGAAAGCGAAGAAACGAAATCATCTTCTTCCAAAGCATATCGCTCAATGCAGGACACGCTGCAGAATTCTACATGAGAAACACTTATCCACAGAAAAATGGAAAACAATTGTAACAATAGATGAAGCATGGGTGTATTTAAATGATTGTAATAAAAAAAGGCCATTTATTATTATAAAAGGGGAGAAAAAAATTTCAAGTACATGGTTCAAAGAATCGAAAGAATGTTTTTCTAAGGGATTCATGATTGCTGCGGTTTTTCTTATAATGGCAAGTTAAAAATAAAGAAAGTGCAAACAAATGTCAAGATTAACTCCAAATACTATCAGGAACATATTTTATGGCCAATTTTTCTGAATGAAATACCATCGCTTTACCCACAGTGCCATCGATCTGTGAGACTCCATCAGGACAAAGCTAGCAGTCACACATCAAAATCCACTGTAAATTTCCTAAACGAAATGGAACAAAAAACTGGTATCAAGGCCATACCCTTCACTGATATCCCTACTAAATCTCCCGATGTGTCACCTATGGAATTTTGTGCTTTCGGACTTTTAAACACTGCATTATCCAAACGTTGTCCCAAAACCCTAACAGGACTCTGGAAAGCTGTTCGGGAGAAATGGGACTTCAAAATTTCTGCCACTTCAAAAGGCATTATTATCCTGGAAATTGCGGTGTCGAAAGATAGTTCAGAATAAGGGATGTCAAATAGAACATTTAAAACACAAGAATTTTATATAATTTAAGTTTTGTGAATACAATATACATCGTCTAAAAAATGTGTGAACAGCCTCTGTAGCTGTTAACATGGATAATCGTCCAGATGATAGTGTGGTAAGTAACGCTGACTACCGTACCGAAGGGTTTGAATGTCGGAGAAAGTATGGATGTCTGTAAGCAAACGGGGTTTGTACAGCAAGGGGCCACAGAGAAAAGGAAAAACCGTCAATCATTACTTCTACAAGGAAAGAAGACTCCAAAAGAATACCCGAAAAAGTTACGCAAAATTTTAACATTTCTAAAGTTAAATCGTTGGTAACAAGAGATAAGTCCGTCGACACAGAAATCCATTGCAAGGCCTTTAAACACATCTGTAGCAACAATAAATAAAATAAGCTTTACAATTTAAAAAAAGCCTAAAAACATGATGTTGTGTGTGTATTTTAATTATGGCAAAGCACACCCAGGATGGCGTGATATGAAGGGCAACATAACGGGCCTTAGAACTTCGTCAACGTACCGCTGTGCAATGTAAAATTGCTACGGATGACAACCAAAGGGGTCCTACTATGAAATAAAATGGCACCCTAGACCATCACTCCAGCTTGTCGGCCTGTCTGCCGGAAGACAGTCAGGTTGGTATCACACCGCTGTCCGGGGGCGTCTCCAGACTCGCCTTTGCTGGTCATCGGGGCTCAGTTCAAAGCGAGACTCATCACTGAAGACTATTCTACTCCAGTCAGTGACATTCCAGGGCGAATGAGCACCACACCACTGCAAACGGGCTTGACGTTGTACAGAGGTCAATGGTAGTCGGCGCAAGGGGCGCCGTGACCTCAGCCCCCCTCTCTGTGAGACGTCTATGAATGGTTCTTGCGGTCACTGAAGCACTAGTTGCACGTACAATCGATGATAATGATGCATCTGGGGCTGTGAGTGCCGCTCTGACGATTGCTCGGTCTTCAGGTTCTGTGATTTCTCCAGGGCCTACCGCTTCCTTCTTGACGCTGTGTGCGGCCATGGTTCATCCATTCCTGCTAACATCGTATAATAGTGGCATCGCTCCTGCTCAAATGTCGAGCTATTCTCAGGAAAACTAACCGGCTTCTTTGAGTCCAACTACACGACCTCTCTCAAATTCTGACATCTGCGCATATCTTTCGCGCACCTGTATGCGAGGCATAATTACTGTCTACCAGAGTACACGGAATGAAATTCGTGAAGGATTTATGATATGGAATCGTAATTTCTCCTCTTAAACATCCTGCCATTTGCGCAGATCAGATCCGCTGTAGCGACAACCGTTCATTCATTGTCAGCCAAAATGTAAAATTTTGCATTTTCCGTCGAAACCTGTATGCATATCAATTTGTGTTCTATTGGCTATATATCTTCTATCTTCTCGGTGCGTCCTTTCTTTATTTCCCTAAGAGTGTATATATAAAATTTTTAGGTGCAACAATCTCATTTACTTTCAGCACCTGGGTCAAACTGGCAATGATTCTTTGACGAATGTCAAAACATGCCAAGGTAAAAATGAAACAGTTACCCTTTCTAATATAAATATATTTATATTACATTTTTATCGTGTCTTAACGGGAGTAGGAATCCCCTATATCGACAATGTTGCATTGGCCATTTTCGATGTACCTTTTCTCAAAAATCTGCTGTAGGTACATGTTTGAATTTTTTATGCAGTTAAAGTACACCTATCTGATTTACCTGAAATGAGCTTCTGAAACATTTTGAGTTTTAGAGTAATTTGTAGAATATTTTATTATGTATAATAATATTTAGCAATTTTCTCACAAAAAATTGCAAAAATACTTTTTCTTAGTTTATCACTAAAAGCTCATTTCAGTAAATATTAGGAAACACAATAAATAAGCCATAAAAATTTACATTAGTAGTTCCTTGAGTTACAGTTGAATGTGAAGAATTTAAGAGCTAATACGCGAATGATCGCTTGAGTTCGTGGGGTAGGAAACAAGTGAGAAGGGTGAAATAATCCTTTATTATTCTAACTAAAGTTTAACAAAATTCGTGTCTTTGGAGTTTTACAATAAAACTGACACTTGGGCTTAGAAAACTAAGAATTAAAATTTAACTAAAAAGATATAGCCGAAGCTATCAAGATTCTAACGCACCTTAACGCTAATTGACGTTGAGTTCGCCCCTTAACGGTAATTGATTGCGAAGCTATCAAGAGCCTAAAGTACGGCCGAGCATAACAATAGCTTAAGAGAGAGTAGTCTAAAAAGGCGAACGCGTGCTAATCAGAATTTTTGGTTCTCTCTGACTAAGACAGTACAACTTTGCGGTTAAATACCGCTCTTCCTTAATTTGCATCCAAACGTTATGGTAAGTTGAAATTAAAACGAAGTGGTAAGTTTATCAGGTTCAATGTTCCTTCTAACCTTCTTCGGGAACATGCAAGGACCTGACTCGGAACAGAGAGCTTACTAAAGCTATGTTCAAAACTGTGGGAAGTAAACAGGATACACAAGAAGGGTATACAAAACCCTTTATTTTTCTCTATTTACAATGACTTCCGTACTTCGGAATACACCGACCCGCTACTTGGGGTCAAAACGTAAAAGTATAAAAATAAAACTAAACTCTAATTCAACTTTAGAATAATAAACGTGGAAGATTGGCCTTATATTAACAGGAAGCGTATGTAGTACAGAGAACTGTGAACACTACAATACGTTTTAAAATTTATCAAGAGGATTAAAACCTCTGGCCTGGAAGGCAAACAACAACTGCGTAACGTCTAAGGTAAGCGGCCTGCTTCGACTTAACTGCTTCCTCTCTCTCTTGGCAAAAAGCCACAACTTAAATACTTGGCGTTCGCCAGACAAACTTTGCATAAAAAACTTAACGCTTATAATTCTGGCCGGAAGTAGAAAATAAGAAGTGATAGTAAAGATTTAAAATAAAATAAACGTTAGTAAAACTTAAGATCCTTACATACTTCCCGCCAGAGTTAATTAGTTTGAAACTGAGGTCTAAAACGACCTTGTTGAAAACTTTTAGCTCTAGAATCTAACGCGAGGCCAATCTTTTACAAATATTTTCGCTAGAAACTAGAAATTTAAAAAAAAGATTTTTTTTTTACATATAGCA